TTTTTTTTTTCTGAAGCTTTTGAAGATGGTCATGTGTTTCATTTGTGCTTAATAAGTTTAAGAGATGGTGGTGCAGCTTTTCTCCATGACCCAAAATAGCCTTCTCGAGTTACCTTAACCAAACGGCTCAATAATCGAACATGTTTTCTCGCGATCTTTCTCGGCTTATTTTCTTGAAATCCACCTGCGTCCGAATATTTTCCGGTCACCGTCTGATTTTCTTCGTCGTCTCTGAAGTGTCGGGCAAGCGTGCATCGTCCCTCGATGAGTTGCCTCAAGCTGGTTTTCTCTTGTTGGGTAATATTTTTCAAGAAGCAATCTTTGTCGAAACCATTATTATCCTCCTCAAAGCACTCTCTGGGCTCAATCTTGAGATTTAGATGGGATTTTCTTGTTCTTTTTGACATAGATATGTTGTAATGTGGTTTGGTGAGGTTGGTTTTGCTTTGGCTTCCCATAATTTTTTTCCCCCTTTTTTTTGTTGAGGAAAATATTGGGGGATTTGAGGTGTTTAAATGGTGTTATTAGTGATTGCATGTTAGTATTATCACTATTTTTAAACTAATGACACATTTTTAGAGATTGTGTTTTTTGGTAATTAAGTGGTAAAATGTCATTTTATATCGGTTGGTCTATTGCAATCTCGAGTGGCAAAATTGATAAAACCGACACCTTCAAGAAGGGACAATATTTTATATATGTAAGAAAGCCTTATGTATGTGTTCCATTATTTTATTATTATTATTATTATTATTATTATTATTATTATTATTATTATTATTATTATTATTATTATTATTATTATTATTATTATTATTATTATTATTTACATACCAAACTTTTCTTGGTCGGTGAATTTTGCCTATTCTGTTTTGTTTTGTCACTACAAAACCGTCCTAGTCCATGTGTTATCACTTAGGTAAATGTCTTCTAATTTAAGCATTTCATGTAACTATTTGTTTAAGAAATCCAAATAAATTCCATTTTTTTTTCATTTATTTAATTGGTTTGTATAAATTGATCTTGGCCCGAAGACTAATATTAAGAGGGTGTTTGTTTATAAAATTTATGTACTCATTTATATTTAAAATCTAGCTTAACTTTTATTCGATTCTATTATCCTCAATATTATTAATATAATTGAATTATATCAACTAATAATTCTCACACATCACAGTAATTTTAATTCACTATTCATCTACTCACATAATTTTAACTATTCATCACTTCATTTCATCTTTTCTTTAATTTTCACATCAAAACAGTTTTAAATAATATATTAATATATAAACCCAAAATCTCACCTGATTGGAATCACTTGCAGGTCCCGCCTGATTGAAGGGATATTCTGGCTGCCATACGGCGGTGAATTCGTTCTCGGGCCTTGTACACACCGCCCGTCACACTATGGAAGCTGGCCATGCCCGAAGTCCTTACCTTTGTGTGAGTCGTACAATTGTTGGGCGGTCGACCTGTTATAATATGTAAACAAAAATATGTCGGCCCAACGAATAGGAAGACCTCAGTGAAGACCATCAGGTCGAGACACAAAACATTCTCCGACATTCTGATTTGAAGATTCCTAATTTTATTTATTCAGATAAAATTCATTAGCGTCAAACCGTGCATCATAAAATGGAATATCTATAGTCTGGTCTTTATTGTATGAAATTAAATGTTAGAATCCTATGCAATGTGTTGACACTGTCAAAATTCAAATATAACATAATTTATAAATCTTCCAATAAAGACGAATCTACAAAAAATCAAGATATAAAATAATAAAGTAACTCCTTTCTGATCTTAACAATCTTAATAGTGTCCTAAAATAACTCTCGTCGTCTATATAGACTTTGTTTTTGAGTCTACAAATAAAAAGCCTACATCTTTTTTTTTTTTTTTGGTACAGGGACCTTCCGGTTTCCGGATTCACAGGGGAACCGACTAATCCGGAATCGAGCCGGGTAGGACCACAAGGACGACAAAGCTCTCCCTCAAGAGTTTTTAACACTGCTGCATTCTCAGGGCTCGAAAAGCCTACATCTTATTTGAATTACAAGTCTTTCTTGAAAGTCATGATTCGTAAAGTCGTTTCCACAAGGCATTGCGAATACTTTAAGGTATAGATTTAAAATAGACAGGACAAAGTAAATAGATTTTGGAAAATTTTGTGGAAAATGCAAAGTTTTTTGACCCAAACACTTAAAGCGTGATATTTAACAGCACATAATCAATAATAATTTGTCTTTACTACTACTAAACGAGATTTTCTCAACTCTCATTTGAAAATATATATTTTTTTTAAAAGACTTTGAAAATAGATGTTAAACACTCGAAGACAAAGTTTTGTATTTGGGCAAAGTTACGTTTTATCCGTGAGGAAACTGAGGTTAGGGTCAAGATTGAACAGACTGAAGTTGAGCTCCGATCCGCCTGCTGCAAAATGACCTGCAAAAGGGGTGAGAGAATCTCCCGGCGTCAGCACTCCGACGCCTGAGTTAGCACGTGGAAAGAAGATGGTAATTGCTCTGTAATTAAAGAGTTACGTGTAAATGTATGTAAAATGTAGAGTGAGTTTGAATGTACCTCAACCACTTTTATAGGGGAATACCTGCCCGAAATAGCCTACCCGATTGTTCGCAGTCAGCCTGCCCTACTGTTCGAATTTAATCTTATCTTCTTAGTGTTTGTTCTTATCCTAATCATGTTCTAGTCATCATTACGTTTCTTCTTATCTTCATAAGATTCATTTTATCTCCTGTAAATCAATTGGTAGTGTCTATTAGGTCGTCACCACCTCTCATATCGTATGGTTCGGATCTCGACCATCATGGTCGAACTGACTTGTATTCATCGCATTTAGGTCGTCCAAGGGACCATTGGTCATCTGAGTTATCCAGGTTGTCCAAGCGGAAGGATTTCTTCCAAGACCTTCATGTCGTCCATATGTCCAGTTCTTAGGTCGTCTTAGGAGGCAAGTCGTTTAGCCTTAGGTCGACGTCATGATACTTAGAGTTATCTTGGCTAGCCCTGGCTATATGCAAGCACGATTCCACACCAGAGTCGATGTAATTGAGAAACAAGAACTTGTTGCCACCACGGTTTTCTTCAATCAAAATAACTCTAGCATCAATCACAACCAAATTTCATATACAATAATAGAAAAAAATAAATGAAGGCTTTTTTACATAGAGTCAACAACAATATAAAAATTTTCCACATAATCAATGGAATTTTTCTTAATTAAAAATTATATTCAAAGATTTTTGTTTGAAGTTCAGCATACTTTACTAGCTATAGGAGAAAAAATGGTTTTATAAAAATTTCAAATGGAAATACCATAGAAATATGATTGTTTTTCTTAATTACTTAATGACATGCAGGTAGGATATTAAAAAAAAAAACTCTATTTGGAGCTATAACAAATGGAATAAATATTATGAATATTTTATATTGTTGATCTAGACCTCAATTAACATAGATTAATAAATAATTATTGAATTTAGGTTATGATAATGAATTAAATATATGCTCATTAAAATCCTCCTTATATATAATTCCCGAATGCGCTTAGCCTACATGACTGCTTCTGGTGCTTCAGAATCCTATTTGGCGAAGAATCATGCTTCGTAATTAGGTTTGGATAATTAATAATCTAGGTTCGGGTATTCCATAAATATTATTTAGCTAACTTAGGTATTTTAATATCACTTTTACTAATATAACCTTTTAATTCTTTGTAATTTTACATAGTGAGGCACTAAGTGACTAATATATCCTTGAATTTTGATTTGTTTCCTTCAATAAGCTATTGAATTATAAATGTATTTTAAGAGTTGATAACTTTTGTATTTCTTATCGGTTTTACATATATAACATATCAAATTAATCATCTTTTGATGATCTTCGATTTGACATCTATATTGTATATATGAAATAAATAAATTATATTTATCTTTATAATAATAAAAAATAATAATATTTATTAAAATTCATTAGAAAAATAAAATGATTTCTCAATTGATATATTTATATGTAATGTAGTTATATATTGTAAGTAAAAAAAAAAATAGGATAATATAACACAAGTAAGTTGCACAAATAAAAAGTGTCATAATAAATATATAATAATATATATATATATTCTTATAAAAGGTATTTAAATTTTCAAACTATTTTTTCTCATTAATTTTAGATTTTAAGAAAAAAATTAGCAAGCACCCGTGTAATACACGGGTGTTGTACTAGTATCACATTTTTACTTTATTAACTCTTCTTTTTAACCTTCTTATTGGTAAAAGAAAAGATTTCCGAAAATTTCAAAAAAAATAAAAAAAAATGCATAAAACAATTTGGCACTTCTTGATTAAATTAATAAATATTGGGATGAGTTATTATATAATTAGGGCATCCATCAACTCCAACATTTTACTTTTTATATTTATTTTTTCAACATATAATCATATTTTGAAATTGATAATTCGTATCATAAGAAATGATGTTAACAAAAAGTATGATATTTTACAGTACATATATTTGTTTTATTAATATTGTTAATTTGTATTAAATTAATTTTTATAATAAGATATTTTATTTGAAAAGTATATACTATGTTGAAAAAGTTTGATTTTTTTGCTACAATAGTGAAAAAGACCCTTCCATTCCATCTTCATAAGCTCGCCTTCTGGTTAAAGAAAGCAGCTTTTACAGTTGAAAAAAACCTAAAAATTAAAAAAAAAAAAATAATAAAATAAAATAAAATGAATTGTTATTATTGTCACTTGCTAATATTCACAATAACATTATCCACAACATCTCTTCAAATCTCAGCCGTCGGATATCCGATCAACATCTGGCCCAAGCCCACACGGACCGACTGGCCCAACCCACAGGCCATCGGGCTCTCCGACAACTTCAACATCTCCGGCGCCCCCCGCCACCGCCACCTCGCCGCCGCCATCCTCCGCTACCTCAATCTGATCGCGAACGAGGCCCACCGCCCTCTGATCCCCCCGTCCCTCAACCTCACCTCGTCGCCGCCGCTCAAAACCCTCAAAGTCAGCGTCTCAAACCCCGCCGCCGCCCTTGCCCACGGCGTCGACGAGTCGTACACCCTCTCGGTCCCCTGCACGGGGGCTCCCGCGGTCCTAGCCTCGTCCACCCCATGGGGTGCGATGCGCGGGCTCGAGACCTTCTCCCAGCTGGTGTACTCGGCGCCGCCGAAGGCGGCAGCCTGTGGCTTGAGGATCTCCGACGCGCCGATGTTCGGCCACCGCGGCGTGCTGCTCGACACGTCGAGGAACTACTACGCCGTGGAGGATCTGCTGCGGCTGATCCGGGCGCTGAGCATGAACAAGATGAACGTCTTCCATTGGCACATAACCGACTCGCAGTCGTTCCCGCTGGTGCTTCCGTTGGAGCCGCGGCTGGCGGCTAAGGGGGCGTACGGGAAGGAGATGGTATACACGGCGGATGACGTAAAGAGGGTAGTGAATTGCGGGATGGAGCATGGGGTTCGGGTCGTGCCGGAGATCGATATGCCAGGTGAGTCACCGCCTGCATTGTGTTTGTTGTTTTCCCCCTTACATATTAATTTCCATTTTCGAAATTTGACATTTATTCTTAATTAAATTGAATAAAGGAAACACTCAAACAGGCAGCGGACAATTCTCTGAGTAGAGGCGAACTTTTCGACACAAGTAATAGCTTAATTAAATTTGACATTGTGCTTGTTTGAACTTTTCGTTGAGCTTCAGAGACAATGTTTGAGTTGATCTGTTTATTGTGTTGATTCCTAGCTTGAATGAACTTTGGTCGGGGGAAAAAACTAAAACATATTTTCGATATTAGTTACGTACCGTCTGAGATCATGTGATTGATAATTGAATGTCGATTTAGGTGGAAGTGAATAGTAATGGAAGTATCGATACTTGAAATCATTCAAGTAATACAAGGTTTTTAAAAAGTGTCTTTCCTTTTAAAAGTCTTGTCGGTGAACGAGTCTCAAGTTGTTGACCGAATGTGACAATCGTTCTAATTTCTGAAGCCAAGAAATCAACTTTATGTGTCACTTCAGAAGCAGTGGCACTGTGTGGCACTCAGTATGGTCGGTGTTCGATAGTTTTGCCATTTTGACGAGATTTGTAGATGGGGAAATATTAGTTTCAAATTTTTTTGGGTCTATAGATCTTGAGGAAACAAGTTTGATAAAGAAAAAGAATGAATTTTGTGTTGAACTCTACTCACAAGATTAGCTATTTACTAGTAAAACTCATTAATTGGATATCATGCTAGTGTAGTGGAGTTTTGAATATTGTCAAGATCAATAATGAATACTTGCAGAATGATGTCGAAGGTCAATATCCCATTTTTCGTCTTCTGTTACTAAAAAACTCAGTACAATTCGAACTGCACCAAATTTTGAGATTCAACCTTCCCCATGGTTGTGTCTGTTTTGGGAGACGTTTTTTCCTTAACGTTACGTCGCTTTATTGTAGATAGTCTTAAGAAACTCGTCTTGTGCAATGAGAATTGAAATAATATTGAAATTCATTATGCTATAGTCTTTGGCTATTCCGTTTTCGAATCGCACGCTATGTTCTAGTTTTGTGAACTGGGGTTATTTATTTATTTATTTTTTTCACATGTGCAGCCCATACCGGCTCATGGGCCAAGGCCTACCCAGAGATCGTCACCTGTGCCGACATGTTCTGGTTTCCGGCAGGCGCCAAATGGGAGGACCGCCTTGCGTCCGAGCCCGGCACTGGCCAGCTCAACCCCTTAATCCCCGAAACCTACAAAGTCGTGAAAAATGTGGTCCACGACGTCACCGAAATCTTCCCGGATCAATTCTTCCATGCGGGAAACGACGAAATCACCCCTAATTGCTGGAAAATCGACTCCAAAATCCAAAAATACCTCTCCAAAAACAAATCCCTTAGCCAGGTCCTCGAAATATTCGTGAACTCCACTCTACCCTACATCATATCCCGAAACCGAACCGTGGTCTACTGGGAGGATGTCCTGTTGGATGCCAAGGTCAAAGTGGGCCCAACATTGCTCCCGACCGAGCACGTGATCCTTCAGTCTTGGAACAACGGCCCGAACAACACCAAGAGAATCGTGAGCTCGGGCTACCGAGCAATCGTGTCCTCAGCCGACTACTATTACTTGGACTGCGGGCACGGGGGTTTTCTAGGCTATGACAGCCAGTATAATCAGCCCCCGGGCTCGGATCAAGGAAATGGAGGGTCTTGGTGCAACCCGTTTAAGACGTGGCAGATGATGTATAATTACGATATAACCTATGGTCTGAGCAAGAAGGAGGCAAAGATGGTGCTCGGTGGTGAGGTGGCGCTTTGGTCGGAGCAGGCAGATGGGACGGTGATGGACTCGAGAATCTGGCCACGGGCGGCGGCGGCGGCTGAGTCGTTGTGGTTGGGAAATAAGGATGTGAGGAAGCGGTATGCAGAGGCTGCGGATAGGCTTAACGAGTGGAGGTATAGAATGGTGGCTCGGGGGATCTGGGCCGAGCCGATTCAGCCGCTATGGTGCGTGAAGAATACGGGGATGTGCAACAATGCTCCGTCGTCTTAGGTCTATTTTTTGTTGCAAAGCATCTCCAATGA